TTTTTTTTTTAAAGAAAACATTGCAGACATAACTAAAGTCCATCCTTTCCATTTCCCTTCTAAAGGTAACCGATATCATAAGGATGTTATATATCTTTCTGACTTCAGTTTTAAAACCTTATTATTATGAGGACATCCATAATATATAGTATTTCATATAGGTTTAAACTTTATGTAATGTATTATATATCTTTCTACAAACTGCTTTTTTATTCAACATAATTTAAAATGATCTCATTAGTGAAACTAATCTTTATTTACCTTTGGATTCCCAAGAACAGCAATTCCTAAAGACAGCTTTCTTTTTTGACCACCACTTAATTTTTTAGCTTGGTTATCTTTAATAGCCTGCATGTCTAAATCTAACAAAACCTTCTGCACCTGCAAAAGTAGAGTGAGAACAATGTTATTTTTAAAATCATATTATTTACATAATTATCAATATTAGTTTTTAAGTTTTTTAAGTTTTAAAATAGTAGTACTTAATATAAACTTTTAATATATCAACTTTAAAAATGTTTCTTACTTAATTTTGACATAAATTCATAATTTTGAAAATAACAGGTAATAAGATTCTTTAAGAAAAGTTTGTTTTACTTCTGTGCCTTTCTGGGTAATAGGGAAGGAATAAGAAGAGATCACTGTGAAGGGGCTCTGGGTACATGTGGGGAGGAGATGGTGATCAGGGCAGAGGGGAGGGAAAGGAGAGGAGAGGAACTGAGGGGAGGGGAGAGACAAATATCCTGCAGGTGAAACAAGGACTATTTTATGTTTGCTAAAACATTTACTCCAAATTTTATCTAATTCTTTGTAACAACTTTTTGTTTACTGGCTCAGAACAGGTTTTATATTTAGATTTTCAAGCATATTTTTATTGTACAAGTTATTAACAAGGTTACTAATTTACAGGGAATAAAAGTAAAGATTTTTATATGAATATCATACTTCTTGTATTATATTGTTGGCTGGTATTCCTTTGATTGAAGCCAAAATTGATAAATTTTCTTCTACTGTCAAAACATCAAAGTGTATATCTAACTGTGGACAAATGCCAATCATTTTTCTTGCTTCAAACATTTCATCTATTTCTGAGACTCTGTGTCCATATATAGATGCAAACCCTAAAAGTAAAATACATATTTAAATTTATATTAAATACATTAAATATTCAAATGTATATGCTTTAATGTATCGTAATAACTTAGTTATTTGGTTGTAATAGACACAAGAATTAATATCGATTTGAAAGACATAAAACGCCCTCATTTCCATATTATTGGTGATATATTTCCACTTATATTTCAATCTCATTTTCCTTCACTTCCAGGTCATAGTACATAGTGGAAAGAGCAAGGAACTAGAAGATTAACACTAAACAGAAATATCCATTGGTGTATTATCTTATATTCCAATAATAACTTTCCTTCATTTCCAGACATTATGCAATAGTTGAGAGATCAAAGAACTAAAAGTTTTGCCCTAGTTGGCTGTATGGTCCTGAGCAAATTATTTAATGTCT